GCGCGGGGTGCAGCGTGTGCGCGGGCTCCCGGCTCAGCCGGAGCGCTGTGCTGGCCTTCGCGACCGTCCCGGCCCGCGAAACGGGGACCCGGTCCCGAGTGGGCGGACAGAGGGCGGAGCCGTCACTGGTTCCCAGGACCCAAACCAGAGACGAGGAAAGGGAAGTCACAGACCAAACCCATCTCTTGTATTTTTTTCAACTAAAACAATGTCTCTTCATTAGTTGATTAACTCGGTATTATAGTGGAGGAAAGTTAACGCGGGTGTACCATGTGAGCCACAGTGGCCTTTTAACTGCCTGCAGCGTTGATTTGTTTCAACTAAAACATAGTATGTAAAGACAGGCATTTTTTTTATTTTAAAAAAAAGTTTATTAAAAAACAAATAGCAATGAGACAGTTTCGAAACCGAGTAATAGGACAGTAACAATAATTAATACATTGCATATTGTCTTCGTAGTGGTTATTCATAGTACAACATCATGTCCAAACACTATTAGTACAAATCTTTCTTCTCATTGAACCAAGAGAAAGTAGCTGTATATCTATCCTATTTTATATATGCAGATACAAAATGGTCCTTCACTTGCATCCCCCCCTTTTTTGGTTTAGTTTTGTCAGAGATGGGCATTCCATTGCCATTTAAATATTGTAGGTGTGTGAATTTAGCAAAATAATCCAATCTAGCCCAGTAGTCCATAATAGTAGCGGGTTATCTGTAGGACTATGTCAGAAGTTGTTAACTTGAGCCCTTTACAGCTCAGCATATTAATATGGCTTTACTTTTCATATCTCATTGTTATACTTTTCTGCTGGATGATTAAGACCAAGATAAAGCAAGACCTATATAACAAGAAATGCAACTTTAGTCTGTGTGTTTATGTCAAAGAAATCAACAAATTAAGGGAAAACTTTTTATTCAGAAAGTTGTTACTACTGGCTAGTTCTAATCACAATGAACAAGGCTATACATGGTTAGATTTCTAAATTTCTGTGTAAAAATATGTAATTGTTTATTCCAATTTTTAAAAATATTTTATTTATCTTTTTCTTTCACATTCTGTAGGCATTTAAAGTTTAATGTATCACTACTTGATGGAGAATACCTGTTCCATGCCATGTCTAAGTTGTTTGATATTCAGACAGATAGTGAGGGTAAGCTCAACTGCCCGTGTTATAGGGTAATGATATCATTAAGCTTCTCTTCTGGAGCATTAACAGCTTAAGCTTGCAGACCAAAAATTAGAGGAAAAGAAGGGCTGCAAGGACAGCCAACATTTTGGCCCCAGCCTTTCAAGGTCAGTGAGGACTCAAGACATAAGAGAACCTGTACTGTACCATCCAGTAACTCAGTGATGTCCCAAATTTTCTGATCAAGACAGGCATTTTTTTTTCTTTCTTCCTCCTGGATAGTAAATCATTTTATTTATTTATTTTTATTTATATTTTTTGAAACAAGGACTCCGTGTGTTGCTGAGGCTGGCCGCGATTCTCCTGCCTCAGCCTCCTGGCTCTCTTGTGTTCTGTCCTTTCGTTGAAATGGCCTCTGGCCTGCTCTTTTGAAGTACTTGAAGTGCGCACACACATCTGTCCCAAGAAAATACTTCCAATGTTTTTATGTAAATAATTGTAAAAATATGAATCGAGTGACA